AGCCACAACTGTTCGCGCCGAACCAACAACGAGAAATGTGATCAGGTTATAGAGTGCCAATCACAAAAGTTCCATCAGAGACAACCGCAGCAATCGAACGATATGGGCCGTTCTAGGTCATCTTCTTTTCGCCACCGGAACCACTTTCCATGTGTCACAAGGGGCTAGATGTAGAGCATCGCGATCAGACAAAGGCGTGTATGCAAAGAAAGTCTTGGAATATTCCTGTAGTTAACTCCTTGTTTAATACATACAGCTTTGGCGGCCCGATGTGGTGATGCGCTAATGTACAATGTCGGAATCCATAATCGCGCCACGGCGCACTCGGTGTACAATTTGCTGATCAGTGGCGCTACAGAATCTTTTGAGCCAGCTCAACAAGGTCGAAGAATGCTTCACGCTCGACATCATATTTCGCCAGCCCTAATCCAAGCACAAGCGTTCTCCTATCATCGGGATATTTTAGCGATAAGTGGCTGGCAATTTGAGCGGCATAAAGCTGGCCAAGGGTCTCGCGATCCTCGCCGCCCCCGCCCAACAGCGTCGTTGGCGTAAGATGAGTTGACGGTAGGAGCCCATGACCTGCGCTGGGTAATGTCATTTCTACCGCACCAGCAGATGAGCCTACTAGTGGGACTTGAACCTGTGAGGCATTAGACTTGAATTGTTGGTCAGCCTTGAGCAACATAACACACGCACCCATTGTGCTAACCGTCCCTCCTGGCTTATCGTCACCATGAGTTTATCGCTGAAGCTTAAAGAGGTGACATCGGTTTTGACACCGTTGACAGCGCCTGATGCTTGTCGGCTAGGCACAGGAAATTCATCCCCCCTTGCTTCCATGAGCCCTGCCATGTCTCGAGATGGTTGCTGATGGAGACGTTGAATGAAGACAACACAGTCAAGAGAGTGCGAGGGTTTCCGGGTAGCGCTGGAGTGACATGGATGTGCCAGCCCCGCGCTAGTCTCGAACCGGATCGAGATTTTGGCGGTGAGTCGTGACACAATTGGTTCTGGGCCAAAATTTCCAAAGGCATGCTTGCTTGGTCAAGTGCCACTTTTTGGCAGTCATGAAGCAGCAGTGCGATTGAGCAAAATTCCGCATCATGGCCCGCCGGTCATACAATTAGAGCAAAATGGCCAGGTTTGTACCCCGTCAGAGGAAGCACAAGGTGCTTGCTCGACAAAAGGCCAAAGAGGCTGCCCAGCATGAAGTGCACGACACAAACCAGGAGCTTCTTCCAGCAACACAGGCTGAGCGGCAAGAAAAGAAGGCTCGGATGAAGGAGGAATTGCGACAAGATGGAGTTAAAGTTAGTGGCAAAAAGGCGAAGCGACTCGAGAAATACATCGAGAATAAATTGCGAAAAGACGAAAACCGAGAACTTCTCGCCAAACTGGCCGCACGCCGCATCGACACATCGTTGTTTTCTAGCAGTCGCTCGCTGGGACAAGGGAAAGAAACAAAGAAGCAAGTTTTGTCGCGAGCCTTGAGGGAGTCAAGAGCTGGCCTGGATGGCGACGACGAGATTCTGTTGGAGAAGAGACAAGAAGAGCCAGCCATTGAACTCGAGGATGGCGGAAGCGACGCCGACGAGAGCAATGTGGCTAGATCTTCCAAAGTCGCAATTGAATCCACAATAGAAAAATCAATTCCAAATTCAGAAATACCCAGGCCACTCGTACGGATCCCTGACACCGAGATCATTGGATCCGGCTTGAAGCGACCGTTGGAACAAGACGATGAAGGGAAGCCTGTCATCAAGAAGAAGCAGAAACGGGGAGGAGTTAAAACAAAAGCACCTCTGGAAACTATCGAGATTATACAACCGAATAAGCTGGAATATGAGGAATGGGATGGCTTTGACAGCAATGATGAGATCTCGGAAAAGAATGTAACCCAACCGGGTGAGGACACTGAACCTGAAGTCGATGACGATACAGGCTCTGAAGAAGAGACCAGTGACGATAGTGAGGGGGACGAAGAGTCTGAGGGAAGCGAAAAGGATAATGACGCTGAGCAACCTGCGCAACGATCTTCTGCGTTCAAAGCTTGGGCTCTTCAGCAGCGAAATGAGGCTTTGGGTTATCAACCAATTGATGTCACTACCGCCCCGTCAGAGGTACCAAAACCAGAAAATTTTGTCCCTAGAGCGCCAGAGCAGGAACCTCTTCCCATGGAGCTTCAGCCTACTGCGAATGATTCAAGAAAAGCTTTCAGCGTAACTGTGACGAGGTCACCAGAAATACAAGAAGCTCGTATGAAGCTGCCAGTGGTGTCGGAGGAACAGCGATTAATGGAGGCTGTTCACAATAATGACATTGTCGTTATTTGCGGTGCGACTGGTTCAGGAAAAACTACACAAGTCCCTCAGTTTCTTTATGAAGCAGGCTATGGTTCGTCCGATTCGCCAACCCCAGGAATGGTTGCTGTCACACAACCTAGACGAGTTGCTGCGGTATCTATGTCTCGAAGAGTAGCAGAGGAGCTGGGTGACCATTCTGGATCTGTGGCATATCAGATTCGATTCGAGGGCACAGTGTCTGATAAAACGGCCATTAAGTTCTTAACCGATGGCGTCCTGCTGAGAGAAATTGCCCAAGACATCGCCTTGCGGAGATATTCTGCCATTATTATTGACGAGGCTCATGAAAGAAGCGTCAATACTGACATCTTGATTGGTATGCTGAGTCGTGTCATCAAGCTTCGCGCGGAACTGTCAGAGGAGGACCCCACAATCAAACCCCTGAAGCTCATCATCATGTCTGCTACTCTCAGAATCGAGGACCTGACAATGAACTCAACGCTGTTCCCTACGCCACCGCCTGTCCTTGAGGTCGAAGGGCGACAACACCCAGTTACCATTCACTTTGCACGGAAGACGCACCATGACTATGTCGAGGAGGCATTCAGAAAAATTACCCGGGGCCATCGAAAGCTCCCTCCCGGCGGGTTCCTAGTATTTCTTACGGGGCGGAATGAAATCTTGCAATTGAGTAAGAGGTTGAAAGCGGCCTTTGGAGGCATGACTGCAGCAGAGGGACCTAAAGTGAAGATCGCAGCAAGCGAGGCCCCTATGGAGGTTGAAGATATCGAGTTCGGTGATGTTGATGATTACGGGGATGAAATGGGAGGCTTGCCATCGGACGATGAGGAGGACGAGGAGGAGTTCCAAATCGAAGAGGACCAAGAAGCAGCACCACTCAAAATGCAGGTTTTGCCACTGTACTCGTTGTTACCAACGCGAGAACAGCTCCGGGTGTTCGAGCCTGCACCGGACGGCACACGTCAAGTTATCCTAGCCACCAACGTTGCAGAAACCAGTTTGACCATCCCAGGAACGAGATTCGTCTTCGACTGTGGCCGGTCCAAGGAGCGACAATATGACCGCCAAAGTGGAGTGCAGAGCTACGAAATCGGCTGGATCAGCAAAGCTAGTGCAAATCAACGGTCTGGCCGTGCTGGTCGTACTGGACCTGGCCATTGCTACCGGCTATACTCGTCGGCTGTATATGAGCGAGACTTTCAGCAGTTTGCAGATCCTGAGCTTCTTCGTATGCCAATTGAGGGCATCGTGCTACAGCTCAAGTCCATGAATCTGCAAAATGTCGTCAACTTTCCTTTCCCAACTCCTCCAGAAAGACAGAGTCTTGCCAAGGCGGAGAAGCTCCTTACATATTTGTGCGCTCTTTCACCGTCAGGCGACATTACACAAATCGGCAAGACAATGTCTGTCTTCCCACTTGCACCGCGATTTGCAAGGATCCTACTAGTCGGCCATTTACACGACTGTCTTCCTTACACGATTGCGTTGGTTGCTGGACTGTCTGCTGCTGAAGTTTTCCTCCCGGAGGCCCAGGCAATCCCTGCACTGACAGCCAAGGGTGACGTCGAGATCCGCACAACTGCCGATGTAATTGCTGAAGACCGGCAGGCAAATGTGCGTCGGGTGTTCAACGAGGTGCACAAGAACTTTTGCTACTTGGATGACAAATCAGACGCCATCAAGCTGTTGCAGGTAGTTGGCGAATTTGCGCATGAGCCTACTGAAGAATGGTGCGAGAAGCATTTTGTTCGGTTCAAGGTTCTCAAGGAGATCCAACAGCTGAGGAAGCAAATCACAGAGCTTCTGCGGAACAACATACCCTCCTTCGCAAATCTCAAGTTCCAGGATAAACTGGACCCGCCGACACCAAAACAAGTCAGTGCCCTCAAGCAGATGGCGGCCACGGGCTTCGTTGACCAAGTTGCAATCCGAGCCGACTTGGCCCCTGCCCCCCCTGAACAATATCGAAAACCCAAGCGAGCAATCGATGTGCCTTATATCCCTCTTGTGCCCCTTCACGCCGTGCAGGGGCCCGAACATGACAGCCTGGTATACATCCATCCTACATCACCCCTTGCACATTCCAGCACCCAAGAGTGTCCCGAATATATTGTCTACTCCTACCTGCAACGAGCTACACCATCCGGCGTGGATGTCTCCAAGAAGCCCAAGACGCGTATGCACGCTCTCACAGACGTTACGGGTGGGCAATTATCAGGACTGGCCAAGGGAACACCGCTGCTTAGCTACGGCAAGCCAATCAAGGAGGTGAAGCCGCCGACTGCGTCGGGAGAGGCATCCATGACTAGAGAGTGCTGGGTCATCCCCTACCTGAGAGCGGAGAATACGGGAGGACAGGGCTGGCCGCTGCCCGCGAAAAAGGTCAAGCAGAAGAAGGTCCCTGGGAAGGGATGGATCGTAGAGTAGCAGCTGGATATCATATATGATGACGGCGTTTTTGCATACACGCACCATTTCGGACAATTTTGAACATAGCATCTGGTAGACTTGCGGCAATTATAGACAGTGTTGAAAAGCATGGGGGCAGAAAAAGTGTCCAAATCGTCAAATGTATTCAAGTCTATCCATCAGCAATGCAGGGTATCAATTCTAGACATAAAATAAAACACTTTCCCCACCCACCCAGGGCCAACGAAACACTTGAAAAACGGCTCATGTGGCCACTGGCGTATTTGTAGCACTCATCTTGCTCCTTTTCTTTTTCAACTTGCCAGGCGTGGAAGCAGATTTCGGCGTCCGCCCCGACTTCCCCTCCTTCTTCGCATCGACTTTTGTGCTGATGGCCGCCGGGCCGTTCATAGCGCCGACGCCGTCCGGCCCCTTCTTCGGCAGAGGCACAACCACCTTTCTGCCCGTTGACGAGAGGTGGAATTCGCCCGGCCGTCCCGTAATGGCATTTTCGTCAATGTACTCGCCCCCGTGTCGCATGTGTGCCATGAACGCCTCCTCTGCCGCCCTCTCCATCGGCACCTCGTCGTTCTTTTGCGCCGCGGCAGCAGGCTTGGCCGCGGTGTCTGGTAGCGGCGTGTCCTCCTTCGAGTCTTGGCCCTTGGCGCGGCCGGCGGCGGCTTGATTCGCGGGGAGCTGGTATACGTGGCCCATTGCCGGGCGCCATTTGCGCACGCTCTCCGCTGCGGGGAGGGCCTTTGAAATGGCCGACGATATCGTCATCTGCGTCCTAGTCAGCGAGCCGATCCAAACCCCCCCCCCCGGGATGCCAGTAGTCTTGCGCCCTCATACGATTCTTGACGCCAGGATATCCGCCAGCGTGGGTGCCATGTAAATATTTTCGCCCACCACGAAGAACGACGCGTGGACCGTGATCTCGTCCTCTTCCTGGTAGCGCTTTCTCCGCGTCTGCTTGCGAATCACCCAGACACCGGTGCCCATGCCCGGCCCCGTCTCGGCAGGTTCCTCGCCGACGATGAACTCCAGCCCCGACATGGTTTTTAAGCGGCCCTCGAATGCCTCGCGCGTCTGGATAAAGTGGTACATGGCGATGTTGTTCATAGCCTGGCTGGTGATGACGGCGTTGTTGGACGTGCGCTCAAAGAAGGGCGACTCGGCGAAGTAGAAGAGGATTGTGTTGGAATGCAGGCCGCCCATGCTGGCGAGGGTTTGGGGAGACCGCCATTGGATCTCGTCTAGCGGGGGATCATTTGGATTGTCCATGGTGCGTACAGACGTGCAAAGTCGTGAGCAGCAGATGAAATGGAGAGTTGGAGGTTGACATTGAACGTTGCTCGGGGAAGCTTTGGATGTCAATCAATCAATTGACCGGATCGCCCTAGCAGTGGCTAGCACCAAGGACGGTGGGGAAGGGGGCGTGCGCTTGCAGCTGGTGGACCAGCTGCTTTCTGGTGGGGCTCAATTGCAGTTCGACAACAAGTCTAGTTCCTAACGTCGTCGTTTTCAACCAGACTTGTTTCCAGTTTGCAAGCGTCAATAAGCCAAGTCGCAGCGAGAGAAATGGACCTTCTCAACACGATCCGCAAAACAGGCTCCCGCGGCGGCGCCGACTTTTCCTGGGACGAAGTCGCTAATTCGTCCCACCGCGAGAACTACCTAGGCCACAGCCTGAAGGCACCCGTGGGTCGATGGCAAAAGGGCAGAGATCTAAACTGGTACGCAAAGGCCGACGACACGCCTGCCAATTCAGCAGAGACAGACGAGGAGCGACTAGCAAGAGTACGCAAAGAGGAGCTGCGAAAGATAAAGGAGGCCGAGGAGGATGCGATTGCGCGGACGTTAGGGTTGCCGATACCACAGAGGAACACGAGCGGTGCGAATGCGGTGGATGTTGGGCAACAGAGACAAATTGGACCCAGGAGTGGACCACCGCCCGGGGAGGATGGTGATGGGAAGGTCAAGCGGGAGCGATCACGAAGAGATGAGGGGAGGAGGGAGAGACGGCGACATCGGAGTAGAAGCCGGGACAGGGATGACGATCGGGATGACGAGAGGCGCCGGAGAAGGCGTAGTCGAGATCGGGAGTCGAGACGACATCGAAGCCGTGACAGACGTGGGCACGATCGGGATGAGAGGCCGCCCCGGCCAGAGCGGAATCGAAGCCGAAGCGGAGAGAGGCGCTATCGCCGTGAGGATAGAGATTATCATAGCGGGGACAGAAGGCGACACGAGGGTAGGCGCAGAGATCATCACAGAGACCGCAGCCAAAGCCCACGGCCAATGCGACAGGATGACTAGATCATCATAGGAAGAGTAGATGACGGGTACGCCTTTTTGGACAGACGCATGGTAGATGGTCTGAGACTGTGCCGGACCCATGTATAATAAATTTGAGTCAACAACCAAACGCCCGCAGCGCCGACTTGGAAGTAATCAGACTCCCTTCTGATCTTTATATTTTATTCCTACGCTATCAAACCTCTCCCTCGTCGCGTAACGGTAGTTCCGTCGGTCTCTGGATAACCGAACGATCCAAGCCATCAGCTTCGTCGGCCATCACCTCATCGCGAAGTCGAGCACACGGGTTCCTGTTTGCGTGTCGCGAGGTACTATTGTCCTTCGTGGCAAGATGAGGCTTGGCAGGGTACACAACCGCGTGTCCTTCATACGAGTCTTCAAATAGCCGCCAGTTGGCTGAATCGTTCGAGTCTATCACGTTTCGCTCCACCCTTTTGAGCGTCTCGAGTCTATAATAGTAGGCGCTTTGTCCTCTGCTATCACCGCATGCCGCCGTTCCTCTGCTTTCGACAGTATAAGTGGCGTTAAAGGTTCGGAGAAAGGGTCGCAGGCACGTTATGCACCCCGCCATTATAGAAAAATGAATGGCTCCTTGAGTAAGGACGCTGGGAATGATCCCCGCCAGCATAGGATCGGAATTTTCTCGCGGAGCCATGCATAGGACACGACAGACTATTATGGGAACAGTTCTGCAAACCATCAGTCGCTTTGCCAACGCCCAAAAAAAAAGGCCAAACAGCATACCCGAGCCGAGCGCCAAACGCGCATATGATAAAGGCACGCTTCTTGACCCTCATTTGAACGCTGCATACGAGGTGTATAGATAGGGCCCAGAGACTCAGCTCGATGACAATTCCTGTGGCCTCAACTCCTATCCAACGAGAATGCTTCGGGTCGGTCAGTCTTGAAGGGCAAAAAGCAAGGTGTCATGGTCGAAAGTATGCCTCACTAGTGTGCTAGTAGTACCTTCCAACACTTCCCATGGACGGTCCAAAGGCCCTCTGAACGCAATAACGAACACGGAAATCAATATCCACAAGGACGAGGATGTAGCAATCACATGGGCTGGTTTGGCTTGAGGACCTAAATAGGTCATGCGGGCTATGAAAAACGCGGCTGATACTCTGCATAGTCCGACGGAGAGGATGTATAGGATTTGGCTAGCATAGAGTGCCTACTAATCGTTTAGCATCTAGTTGAGCTCTCTGACCCCTGGTTGGTACCATACAGCTTTGACATGTTCTAAATCAGGAACCCGAATCTTGGCCTTTGGAAGGCCGTATCCATGTTGAATCGCGTTGCAGGTAAGCGCAACATGTGCGAGAGCAGAAGCCTAGCAGGGCGGCGTTTTAGCACGATGATGGCTGGATATGTTTGTCGAGTTCAGAACCCACCAAGGCATAGGAAATGCAGTAGTCATCCCGGCCCCAGTCCTTCGACGTGAGCTTTGCCCATACGCGGACACAAAATGTCAGTGTTGACCACGGCAAAAATATGGCCATGGCGGTAATCAGCCAGGCGCCATGATTCTCAGCCATGTTGTAGACTCCCGAGGGCGCGTTTGGCTTGGTTTCGACCCGGGACGAAGGTCACTATCTATGTAAGAGAACGTGGCGCCATGATGGTACAATTATCTGCAGGGCAGAGCAGCGGCATTTACGTGCCGTCACATTGGGGGCGGCAGAGATGAACCGTACCATTGTTTGAGCATCGCCCAACGAACCGATTGGATGGAATTCCGGCGCGGCGCGGCTCGCTGCAACCTCCTGCTCTTCCGGGATGGAAGGCTCATGATGAGCTCTATGCCGACATTTTGACTCTGCAGCTGTCGAGTCTCCCGTCATGGCGAGAGACGGCTTGATGGGCAGATGCCCGATAGACGAAGGACTGGGGCCTGTTGGACCTGAAACGATTCATATGTCTCCTTGGCAGCTATCGGCAGTGTCGTACATGACTTGTAGAATCTCAAAGTGACGGGTGCTGCTGCTCGTCCACGCAACGAAGCCAAAGGCTCCCATGGCGTCTGGTCGTTGGCACGCCAGGAGCAGACAATTCTATGCAGCTTCTGAAGCTTGAATTCTATCTTCAGTCAGGCGAAAGAAGCGTCATGAAATAGTGGTCTTCAACACCGGCCATGATGGAAGTACATACTCGGTAGAGTGCACCTATTTTACAAACATGTGTATCAGGGGATTCAGGGAATCAGCGCTTGGTGCTGCGGCTCGTCGAAAAGGTGCAGAGCCATTTCATCGGTGGCGCCACGCGGCATCCATGAACTGCTGAGACTCATGCATCGAGACGAAGAAGGCGGTCAATGGAAAGCATCATGGAGATCAGGGCAGAGAGGGGGGAGGAAATGTCTGCAGAAAAGATTGGCCTGCGGGCAGCGAGGAGTCCCGGGCGGGTGACCAGGATCAAGGGCTTCCCCCAGTCGCTCGCCCGCACAATCTTCCCCGATGCAACTATTAGACGAGGTTTTAGAACCAGGTGTTGGATAAAAGTGAAACCATGCTCCATGTTGCATTTCCGGACGGACGGCGGACGAACATGAAATCTCAATCATGGCTGCTGCAGTATCTCGCCCAACCACGTTTTGTTTCCAGCTACTACGCATGGCAGGGTTGCTATGGTATGGCATTCCAATGAACAATTTATTGCCAGCCTTCTTCCCGGCTTCGCCCAATTTGTGTTGGCCAATATGCTGAATCCTATTTCTCCTCGTCGTGTCTGTTCCATGCTCGCCCGCCTTTCATCCGCGTGATTGATCATTGTTGTCAGTTTTGCACAACACCGCTTGCATGTATATTATCAGGCAAAACTCAACAACACTGTCAACACAACAGAGGTGAAGCTCCTATTCAAAGCCATGAGCTCACCAGGCCCGTCTCACGAAATGTCCAAGCCCGGCATCATGGATACGGACCATGCTGGCATTGGTCTTGACCAAGAGATGGGCAGGGAGGAGCCGGATCAACGACACAGGTCGACGTGGGAAGATGCCCGCAACATGCGGCGAATGGGCAGAACCCAGGAACTGGTTCGGCATTTCCGCTCGTGGTCCATGGTATCATTCGTCGCCCTTGCAACCTCTGCGTGGGAGCTGACACTATTCGGAATCACGCCAGGCCTCACCGACGGCGGACGGCCTGTTCTGGTGTACGGCTTTCTCTGGAACTTTGTCGGCTTCGTCCCAGTCTATCTCAGCATGGCTGAAATGGCCAGTATTGCGCCCATAGCTGGCGCTCAGTATCACTGGGTCAGCGAGTTTGCCCCAGACAGGTACCAAAAGATCTTGAGCTATGTGACGGGGTGAGCAACCAGACCGCTTCCTCTCCATGGTCCATTCCGACGGGCGGTGCCTCCTCTAACATTGAAATCATACGGGAGCCAGATGGACCTCGACGCTTGCCTGGCAGGCTGGCAACGCCCAAGGCCTGTTCATCGTCGGTTCGCTTGTACAGAGCGTCATCGCAATAAACGACGGCACCTACTCGCCGGCGAACTGGCATGGAACCCTTCTCGTCATGGCCATGACGGCTATTGCGCTCTGTGCCAACGTCTTTGCCGCCAGACTGCTGCCGTATTGGCAAAACGTCGTCTTTGTTGTCCACATCTTGGCCTACTTTGGTTTTCTGGCTGCCGTCTGGGTCAACGCTCCGAGGGTCGAGTCGAGCCGAGTTTGGTCGGGCTTTGAAAACTCCGGAGGCTGGCCAAGCTTGTCATTGGCCGTCTTGATTGGCCAGATGCCCGGAATCACAGGACTCGTGGGTGTTGATACGGTATGTGATGCTGTCGTCCAGGAGTCAGCCTCAGTCAGTCGCTCAGTCTCACGAGGATCCAACTAACCACTTGACTCCCTCAGGCGGCGCACATGTCAGAGGAAGTGAGAGACGCGGCAAAGAGCATCCCAAGAGTCATGCTCATCACTTTTGCCATCAACTTCACGCTGACCTTTGTCACGCTGGTGACTCTTTCGTATCACATATCCAGTGTGACGGACGCGCTCGGCGATGACACCACGTACCCGGCAATCTACGTTTTGCGGCGGTCAATGTCGCTGCCGTGGCTGAATTTCATGCTCGTCGTCATTGTGCTTCTCCTCATGCTTGGCAACCTGTCGTACTTGACCGCTGTCAGCCGTGACCTATTTGCTTTTGCGCGCGACCGAGGAATCCCTTTCTCGGGGTGGATCGCGCGCGTCGACAAGAAGCGAAGCATCCCGACAAATGCTTGCATTCTCTCGGCGGGCGTGAGTGCGTGTCTTAGTCTGATTTACATTGGAAGTCCAGTCGCCTTCTACGCCCTCACCTCGCTTTGCATCGTGTCCCTGCTGCAGTGCTACTCGCTGAGCATTGGGTGCATGCTATATCGACGTGTCTGCCACCCCGAGACGCTACCCTACGCCCATTTCTCTCTGGGGAGATACGGAGTGCCCATCAATGCAGTTGCGGTGCTTACGACCACGTGGGGTTTCTTCTGGTGTTTCTGGCCACAAGTGTATCCGGTTACTGCGCCTGGTTTCAACTGGGCATCGCCCATATTTGTTTCGGCGTTGATTGTTGCCATGGTGTATTACGCCTTTCGAGGACGGCACAACTACCACGGCCCCGTCGTTTTGGTTCAAGGTCGGAGGAGGCAAGTGTCTTGACAGGCGTTTCGTCAGTGTTCGGCATGGAAGAGTGGATAAACAAGTCGAAATATTTGTCGACAGATGCCTCAGGAGTTGAATAGTTGCAGCAAAAGTCGAGTTTGAATAGTACTCATTTTGGGTAGTCTCATGTTCCAAGCTAAAGTCCACGTCAATGGCGGCCTTAGTTCAACCCCGGAAATGCTTCCACCTGGCAATCATGTGCCACAAGTGCTATGCAGGCTTGATACAAGGCGGCCACCTGTCAATGTGGCGTTGCGCCGGCGACATGATTGTCCATGCATCATCGCCTTGTGTATTTTGAATTTGAGCAACCTACCCAAATACCTAGTAGGCACTTGAATGGCCGAGGTACTAATTACTAGGCTACAAGGTACCAGGTAGGTACTCGCCATTTGGTCTTAAACTTGACTTTTTAATGTTGGGGCATTCGGATTCTAACGCAACCGACATGGACCTCATCTGCACCTTCCCGATGCACCAGAACGTTGACGTTGTCCCCTGAGATCTGACTCCAACAAGGCACGGGGCTTTTAGTGCTCCATGTCATTGGACCCGCTCGCCGCGGAGCCGAAGCACTTGCAGCCGGAGGCACCAGGTTTGCAGCGGCATTGGTTGGGCGGATGGGCCTGGCACTAGATTCCAGGTTGGCTCAATCATCTCAACGCCAACAGCACATCAGCACTCGAGCAGGAGACGGTTGCCTCCGTAAAGACTTCCAGACCACAAGTTCCCCAGCATTAGTAGCGTGCGATTCTTTTCTTTGTTGGTCCAGCATTGTTTGCATTCCGCATCCTTCCATACATTTCTGCTTAACCAGCGTAAGGAGGTGGCGGGTGACGTTGGCTGATACGTGTACCCTCTCTCTGCCTGGCATTCTCGCCACTGGCTTGTTCCAACACGACCCCAACGGCCAACAAACATCGATTATAATCGTCGTCATGATATAGAACGGAAAACATACATCCCCGGTGCAACTCGACATGGACTATTCCAGCCTTCGTGCCGCAGCCTTGCGGGACGGAGAAGACGAAGAGGCAGTCACCGTCGATACCCGCGCTCTGATAGACAAGGTCCTTGCCAGGTATTCTGGCGAATGGACCACCCTCCGAGAACTTATCCAAAATGCCGCCGACGCCCAGGCCACGACCGTCATTGTGAAATGGGAGACCATCCCTTCCATCCAAGTCCCCCTACCGAACACGACGAATCGATCCGAACTGCTAAAACATGCCATAGCGAACCATACTTTACGGCGCCTGGTCGTGCAAAATGATGGCCAGCCGTTTACAAAAACAGACTGGGGTCGGTTGAAGAGGATTGCAGAGGGCAACCCCGACGAAACCAAGATCGGAGCATTCGGCGTCGGATTCTACAGCGTCTTTGCTGACTGCGAAGAGCCCTTTGTGAGCTCCGGAAGCGAAGCCATGGCGTTCTACTGGAAGGGCAACTCTCTCTTCACGAAAAAGTCTCAACTGCCCGAGGACAAGGCTAGCAGGAATACTGCCTTTGTATTGGATTACAGGAACACAACGACCCCCTTGCCGAATCTCCTCTCAGTTGGTCAGTTTCTTGCCACGAGCCTGACCTTTGTGGCTCTGCAAAATATCGAGTTTTGGATTGACGATTATCAAATATTATCCTTGAAGAAGAAATCCTCTCCTCCTGCAGACCTGTCTTTGCCTCGAGACCTGGAAGCGAGGACGAAAGAAGGCCTCATGAAGGTCATTGGTGTTGACCGGACCAGAACTCAAATAGATGCCTCATACATGAGTGTTATCGGGTGGAAACCACAAACCACGGCGTCAAATGCAAAAAATCCAGATTCATACGGCTCAAGCGAAGCGCCATCTCTTCGATCCTTTTTTGCACGGCTAACTGCAACTGCCT